TTTCACATTCAAGCCAGTTTGGGATACATAACATATTAAGACCCTGTCTCCAAAGAAAAGGGAAGAAAGACCAGGCAGTGGTGGTGCACATCTTTAATCCCAGTACTTGGGAGGCAGAGGCAGGTGGATTTCTGAGTTCGAGGCCAGCCTGGTCTACAGAGTGAGTTCCAGGACAGCCAGGGCGATACAGAGAAACCCTATCTCAAAAAAACAAAACAAAACAAAACAAACAAACAACAAAAAAGCAAAAAAAGAAAAAAGGAAGGAAGGAAGAAAATCTGGGGCAAAGTGAGATGGCTCAGCGGACAAAGGTGCTTGCTGCCACTCGTGATGCCCTGCGCTCTCTTAAGTTTGATTCATGGGACTCACATGGTGAAGAAGATAATCTGATACCTACAGGTTATTCTCTGACTTTTGGATGCTCATACCAACATGCTAGCCCACAAAAATGTAAATTTAAAAAATAAATAAAAACATAGGCATGGAGAGATGACCCAATGTCTGGGACATTGGCTGCTCTTTCAGAGGACCTGGGTTTGATTCCTAGTACCTACGAGGGAGCTTACACCCTTTCTGTATTTCAAGGGACATGGATGCTCTCTTCTGTCCTCAGAGGGTAGCAGGTATACATGCACTGCACTGATACACAGACAGGCAGAACATCTACACATAAAATAATTTTTAAAAACTGACAAAGGGCTTACAGGATGGCTCAGCAGGTCAAAGTGTTGCCACCAAGCCTTTTTTTTTTGTTTGTTTGTTTGTTTTCGAGACAGAGTTTCTCTGTGTAGCCCTGGCTGTCCTGGAACTTGCTCTGTAGACCAGGCTAGCCTCGAACTCTCTAACTCAGAAATCCGCCTGCCTCTGCCTTCCAAGTGCTGGGATTAAAGGCGTGCGCCACCACCGCCTGGCTGCCACCAAGCCTTATAACCTGAGTTTGATCCTCAGGTGCTATGCTGTAGAAAGAGAACCCTGATTCCTGTCAGCTGTCCTCTGACCTCCACATATGTACTATGGCTCACCACATACAGATAAATAAGTGTAATAAAAATAAACTTTAGGAAAAAAACAAACCCTGATAAGGCAGGCTGGACATAATGGGACATTTCCTTTAATCCCAGCATACAGGAGTCAGAGGCAGGTGGAGCTCTGTGAGTTTGAGGCCATCTTGATCTACATCATGAGTTCTAGGTCACTCAGGGCTACATGGTAAGATTCTGTCTCAAAACAGTAACAAGAAACAAACAACAACAACAAAAATGAGAGGTGCTGAGGCCCCTGCTGGCCTGAATGTTACTCCCAAAGGGAGCTTCTGCAACTAAAGGTAAGAGGTGCCAGGGTTTCCCTGGGAGGCCACAGGGCAGTTGTACAGAACAGATGTCAGATAATGTACCACATAGGTGACCGTGGGACCACAGGGAAGGGAAAGGATCAGACTAGACAGACAGGTGGAAACCCAAACATTGATAAAGGCAGACTTCAAACTCCTTTTTTCTTTTATAAATGCATTAAGGAACAAAACCACAAACTTCCTCTTGAATTAGTTTGACCAAGAGTAAACTCAAATTTGATTTCTCCACTTTTCTTCCTAGTCTTCTAGCAAAAGGCTTTGCTCCGTGTTTACTGACCAGCACAGAAAGTATCGCACGGGGAAGGAACAGGGGACTCTTTACAGAAATGGTAAAGAGTTTCTACAAGGGAGAAACTACAATTCTGCTCCCAACCAGCCCAGAATAGTAAACAAAAAAACGGCAAACAAATGCTTTCAACCTATATCCACATATTTGCAATATTTATTCTAGGTATTTACAGGACTGTTTAAGGTTGCTTTTAACTGTTGACTGTTTTCAGCAAATGATCACAACGCATACATTATTCTGGGGTCAGAGGTGTGGAAGAAAATGTAAGATCAAAGCTATGTGATAGCGTAATTGATAAAAGCTGATTACATGGGAAACTCAAGGCAGTTTGTTAGGTTGTTCTTTAAAGGTAGGTTAAACTCAAAGGTGGCTTTTAATCCCAGCACTTAGGAGGCAGATCTTTGAGAGTTCCAGGCCTGACAGCAGACAGGGCTACATAGTGAGACCCTGTCTCAATAATAATAATAATAATAATAAAAGAAAGTAAGAAAGAGAGAAAGAAAGAAAGAAAGGCAGAGTGCCCAGTAGGATAGCAGGTTAAGTCTCCCTGATTCCCAGGTTAAGTCTTGAGTGATCTCAAGCTATATTATTAACTTCTTGGTGAGGTCCACCAAAAGCTCAACCTCTCTGATTGCAAGAGATATTTTCCAAAAATAGTATTATTACAAATTTTTTATTTTGCATTCCATGCATGTATATATTAGTTAGAGGACAGCTTCTAAGAGTCTGAGGGTTCTTGGGGGGGAGAGGGTCAGCACTATCCCAAAAGCTGTTGCCTCCATATGGGATATGTTCTACTAGCTGGGCTGCCTTGTCTGGCCTCAGTGGGAGAGGAAGTGCCTAGCCTCGCAGAGACCTGAAGTGCCAGGGTGTGTGTGTGTTGGGGGAGGCATACCCAGGGAGGGCCCCACCAATTCAGAAGAGAAGTGGAGGGGTATGGGGGAAGGATTGTGGGTTGGGGTGGCCTGGGGGGGGCAGTGAGCAGAATGTGAAGTGAATAAATAAAAATAATAAATAAATTAAAAAAAAAGAGTCAGATCTCTCCACTATGTAGGTTCTAGGAGATCAAACTCAAGTTATGAGGCTTGGTGGCAAATGCCTTTATCCACGGAGTCATTTTGTCAGCCCGTTGGGTGTATTTTGTACTTACTGGTGGGTGAATGACATGATGGTGTTCATATCTTAGATGGCAGTGCCAGCAGCGGTGTGAAGACATGCTAAAGATGGAGGTGAGCTGGAGAGAGGATGCCCAGGGATGTCACAGTGCCCTCTGCTCGCCTCTCCCACTGTCCCTTTAGAGCTGGCACATGGACTCTGTACTCAGGGGTACCATCTCTTCATTCTCTCAGATGACGCTTACAATAGTTCTCAGAACCTAACCATCCCTGGAAAACCCAGAGCTGTGCCAGCTTTCCTCCCCACCCAGCCTCCCCTCCCCGATGCTCCCCAGCTTAGGCCCACAACACTGGAGGCCTCCTAGACGGACACCTCTACCCAGAGAAGGCAACTTAGCTTGGGCATGCCCACACTGTAGTCTCTTCCTGTGCTCAATGGCTTCCTGCACCATCAAATAGAAGGGCTGTGAGCAGATCTTCGAACTTCTGGTCCCTCCCCTTCCCTGCCTAGTTTCCCTGACTTGTCTGTCCTGTTGTCTCTGCCTCTCTTCCTTCTAACTTCTCTAACACATGCCTCAGTCCAGGTTCACCTACTTTGGGGGCCATATTTTACTCATTTCTGAAAGAAGGGGTTGTAGATGCAACTCAGGGTCTTGAACACATAGAAAAGTACTCTACTACAAAGATACATTCCCCAGCCTTGGTTTTGGGGCATGGGGGGGGAAGGGCAGGGGTTTGCTGTGTAGCCCAGGCTGATCTTAAAACTAACAATCCTACCCTCTGTTTCCTAATGCTGGTTTACAAGTGTGCACCACCATGCTTAGCACACTGTTCTTCTCTCAGACGAAACCACCCTCTTCCCACAACTGATAAGAACAAGCAAATGGGTGATTCTCTGCTAATATTGTCCTCAGAGGGGAAAGCAACATCTTCAGCATGGCTTGCACTTAAGACTTGTATATACTCATCTGGCAAATGTTTACTGATCACCCACGTATGTTCAGCAGGAGGGACAGAGTGACCCAGTCCTGGGGAAGCCCCACAAAGGGACATAGTGAGACAGAAGAGGAAACCCAGAGGGTTGCACAGATGTTCCTACAGTCAAGAAAATGCTTCTGGCCGGGCGGTGGTGGCGCACGCCTTTAATCCCAGCACTTGGGAGGCAGAGGCAGGAGGATTTCTGAGTTCGAGGCCAGCCTGGTCTACAGAGTGAGTTCCAGGACAGCCCGGGCTACACAGAGAAACCCTGTCTCGAAAAACCAAAAAAAAAAACAAAAAACAAAGAAAATGCTTCTGATAGTTTTTTTTTTTTTAATACTTCCATCGGGCTGACAAAGACATTAAAAACCAAGGGCACAGGTGGATGGTGGATTGACACAGTCATTGTGGAAAACAATTTGGCATATACCACATATATATCAGCTCCCAATGGTAGGGGTTTCAATTGTGGAAAATCTGAAAAATCATTGACATTTAGATTAACGAAGGATGGGTGGCATGAATATGAGCAAAGTCCAACAATAAGTTTATGAACATGTCATAATAAAATTCCTAATTTTATACACTAGAGATTAATATAAATAAGTCAAAGGAGACATATCAAAGCATTAAAAATAAAAATTATATTTAAAAAGGGCTGATTGCTGGGGTTATGGTGCAGGCTTGTAATCCCTGTTATTCCAGAGGCAGAGATACGAAGACTACAAATTGTATTCCTCCCTTGGCTACAGAGGGAGTTCATGGCCTGAGCATCTTAGGGAGACCCTACCTCAACAAACAAGGCGAATAAGGTAACTGAGGATGTAGCTCGGTGGTATGTACTTGCCTGGTTCACTCCTCAGTGTGCGCGTGGGAGGGAGCTGATTTAAAAAAAAAAAAAAGCAACTCACAGAACACCTGTATGCTCACGTATGCCCAACCACGAGAGCACCTTTATGCACACACACACACACATACACACATTACATGCTTGCGCGTTCGTGTGTAACTCATACAGAGAATACAGTGTGCAGAAAAGAGCAACAGAATATTGCTGTGGTGGGAGCCTCTCTTTGTACTTGTATTACAGTATTTGGTAATGAGGAACTGCCCGTCTGGGAAACAGGCAGGCTGACCGCGGGAATCTGCCATTATCCCCCTGGGGATGCTGGGCAACCTCAGGTGTATGCCCTTGGGGCCACAGCACAACTCCCTACCCTAGCACTCACCTGCCTGGTCGACCATTGAGCTCCACTAGTCTCTGAGACTTTGTCGCGCACCAGAAGGTACCAGGAGTGAGGGTAATAACCCCACAAGGTTTCTGGTCAGCTGTTGAGCATTTCTCAGCATGGATGGGCCCCTTGAAGTGACCCCCTGTGGCTCTACTGCTTCCTGCTGGGCAGGAGTAGCTACCAGGAGAGCGTGGCTACCGCAGCCCACCGGGGTGGAGGACGCTCCGCCCCATCAGCGCCTGGGCCCCGCCTTTAGCTCCAAAGACTACTTAGTGCTGGAAGTGCTTCCCAAACTGGTTTTCCGCTGGACCCCAGAAGGCTATCTCTCCTAGGAGACCACAACCTGACCCACAAGTTCCGCTGCGTGCTCTGGGAACTACCAGCAGATCCGAGCCTTGCCAGTTGTCTCCAGATCCTGAGACCTGTGCCCCGACAGACAGCAGACGCAGGTATCAACCAATCTTCCCACATTCCGAGAGCCCCCGGGCAGAGAAGGGCTTCCCTAGCTGGTGGGCAAAGAGAGTTGGCTCCAGGCCAGAGTGGCTTTCCTCCACCCCATTTGCTGACTTCACTGCATTCTTCCTCCACAGCCCAGCCCGCCATGGCCCAGTTGCTGATGGTCACGGTAACCCTCGGTTGCATCAGCCTCCTCTACCTGCTCCCAGGCACGCTGTCTGGCAGCCTGGGCAAGGGACTGAGGCTCTCCAGATCCAGGTGAGTACAAGGTTGGAACGGACTCCTCACGGGGACCTAACTTTTTAGAGCTCATCTCCCAGATCAAGGGCCACCCTTCACCTTTAGCGTTGCCTGAACAAGGCAGGGGGACTTTTTCTTCCTTTGCCTCTTTCTACTTGGGGTACTTCTTCCCCCACCCCCACAGATACAATAGACCTTAAACAAAAGGTCTGCTAGAGGAAGGGAGGCTAGAGATTCTCAAGCCTGCTGGTCTCTGACCACATAAGGGAAGAACCCAGAACGCTGGAGTGGGGGTGGGGGTAGGGGATTAGGGGGGGTCTTTCTTGGGGACCTTTGCCCAGAATGGTGCTGTTAGTGGTACATGTGACTTGGGCTACTGAGATGGTAAAGCTGCCAGTAAGCCCAGAAGGATGGTGGGCTCTGCTTCCCAGCCTTCAGGTTGGAGACCAAGCTTTTGGGCTTCCCCTGGTCCTGGGCCAGGCTTTTAGGGAAGCTACGGGCTTCCCCTGCCAGTGCCCTCAGACTGTGAAGAAGAGAAGTAGATAGGTTTAAGGGCTTTTGGAAGGCTATACTAGGTCACTGAGTTTACATCTTTCTCTCCCGTTTTTCAGAGAGTCCCCAGCCAAGATTCCTTCCAGTGGCCTGCAGCCTGGACACCCTTCACTTCGGCCTGCAGTCTGGAAGCCTCGATATGCTCCCCAGTCACAGGGAAGGGGCAACCAGGCCCTTGCAATGGTTCATCTGCCTCAGGGTGGTGGCTCACGACACCCAGGTCCCCAGCGTCACGTGGGATCCCGAAGACCCCATGCCCAACTCCTGCGGGTTGGCTGTGTCCTGGGTACATGCCAAGTCCAGAATCTCAGCCACCGCCTGTGGCAGCTTGTCCGGCCAGCTGGCCGGCGGGACTCAGCTCCTGTGGATCCCAGCAGCCCCCACAGTTATGGCTGAGGTGGGGTCCTAGGTATTCTACCTGGAGTGCTGTACTCTCATCCCAGAGCTGCAGCTAAGCTCCACACCCTGGCCCAATTCTCTGGAGCTCCTGCTTGCAGCAATTCCTCCTGGCTTTGGATACTGTAAACCTGTGAGGATATGTGGATCTAGGCTGTAGAATCGGCACTGACAGGGGCCTGAGCATCTCAGAACTGTGTACACTCGGGGTATAGGTACTTGGAAGAGGTGCTGTTGGTATCACAAACCACAAAGAACTTGAGGAGGCGTGTGCCTAAAGAAATAGGCAAAAGCTAGAGTCTTAAATACAGCTCCACCTATGACCAAGCAGGAGAAAGGCTGGAGTGACCCCTGTGACCCCACCCCACCCCCACTGGGAATTAAAGTCTGACTGTGGGCAAAAGCTGTGGCCACTCTCTTATGCAGTTTACCCTTCTGTACCTGATCTGGAATGATGACTTTTTCCTTTCGTGACCTGAGACAGGAGGGGCAGGAAGAAGGGCTATATGGTGTGGTCCCTAGAGTCAGTCAAAAAAGAGACCTCCAGTGGCTGTTGTTAACCTTGAGTCCAGACCAAAGGGGTGATGGAGACTCCTGGGACACTCTGGGATAAAGTACTACAGAAACAACCCTTCTTACCCTCAGACCAAGGCAGGAGATAAGACAAAGTGCCCCATCTCTAAAAGGTTGAGTCTGACCTACCCCTGGGCAAGAGACAGTGACACACACACTGCAACCTCAGCACTCGGAAGACTTGAGGCAGGAGGATGAGAAACTCATGACCAGCTTAGGCTATATAGCAAAATCCTATCTCAAAAACCCAATCACCAATAAAACTATCCCAAATCAGGAAACAAACAAACAAACAAACAAACAAACCCAAACCTACCTCAGGAAAGCTGGAGGCATTTAAACAAGGTTGTCTCTGCAACCAGCCCACCCCCATCCTGTGAGGATGTCCTGCATGAGCAGTAAGGATAGTAGAGTCTGAGAGGCTTATTTCATTGTTCCCAGTTAAGAGTTCAATAAGGGGAGAATGAACCCACAAATGATAATCAAGAGGAGAACCAAACCGTCCAGAATCACAAGCTCAAGACCCTTTGCTACAAAGACTCTGGTTTTTTGTTTTTTTTAAAAAAACAGGTTGGGAAGGTGGGGGTTGGGGGCGGAGATGACAACATCAATCACAGCCTGGAAATAGTTTCTTGGTACAAGGTCTTGGCGCGTGTTATTTCACTCAAACCTTGTAATTGTCCTGTCAGAACGCAGGGTTCCCAGAGTTGTTACTCGCAGCACTTGGGTGTGCATTCCAGCGCCACCTGGATGCCTCCTTGGTAGGAGGTCTTCATCACCCCAGATCTATAGGCGGCTGCACGGAGGACAGCGACATACCCCAGTGACTACAGTCTTCGTGCTCAGAGTCAGGCCTACCTTTTCAGAGACCAGGGATAGTCCTCAGTTAGAAGCATCCTGAAAGTACTCCCCTGGGCCTCCATCCTTGTGCTTACTAGGTTTGTATGATTCAGGAAACTCACCTTCCTTCCACAATAAGCCCCGTGGGTACAGTTTAGCTTAGTCCCTGCAATGCTAGAATAGAGACCTCCGTGCAGAGAGACCAGAACAGGAGCTGTAGAGGGAGGGTGAGGGTGGGGGAGTGAACCGAAGAGCCTCCAGGTCCTGGAGTAAAGGTGAGGCATCAAGAGCAAGCTGAGGACAGACAAACTGAGTCTCCAAGACCCAGATTTCCCAGAATCCTCTTAGGTACTCTGGATCCTGGGTGAGAGCCAATCTTGTACTTCTCTTGAGCCTGGGTGGCCCGTTCTTCAGCATAAGACATCTTCTCTTTCGGAAACACCTTTTGTTGACCCCATACCTCCTTTAATGGATATCCTGCATCCTCCCAGCCTGGGCTCCCAGGCCTGTCGCACATAGCTCTCTAGAGTCTCACAAGTGGTCAAGGACCCTGATCCTCAGAGCTTCGCTGTGAAGGAGGAGGGCTACTGGCCTCTTGTGCAGCGTCAGGAGGTTGCCAGTTATGACCCTTGTATCTGGTCTGATGCCAACCCCACACTGCGCTTGGCTACACTTGACTACCTCTCGATGCCCCCATGCAGAGAGGCCCAGTGGCAGGGCAGCCCTCCCCACCCCGCCCCCCCAGGCCACTTTCTAGCTGTTTTCACACTTAAAAGTTGTACTCTCCTCAAGAACCTATTCAGATATCAGTGCTCACCCTTGATGGCTTTGAAGGTCATGACTCAAGCCTTCTCCAAAAACCTCTCACCCTCATCCTGGCATGAAGCACACAGGACTCATTGGCGAGTCCAGCCCTGCCTTCCTAGGGCTGACTTTAACTAGGAAAAGATGGAGGGAAACACTTCAAAAAGGTAGATAAGAAAGGGCTGGCTGCAGTTTACCTTAAGTAGTAAAGGGGCTGCTGGAGGCTCAGCGCAGCTGCCTACGGAACTCATTCAATGTAGGATCAACTCAGTGGGCTTCTGACCTAGGACTCTCACCCTCATGGTACCTTGTTCCTGCTCCAATGTCACTGCCCAGACAGGTCATTTTTGTCTGCTGGATCCCTGCTGGATCTTCATTATAAGAGTAACCATGTAGCTTAAAATCCTGGTCTGTGTGAGCCCCTTGGCCAGAAGCCCACCACCCTTCTTGGTCCTGATCTCAGACAGGCTGCCCTGAAGTAACGGGCACTTGCCTAGTCTCTATGAAGCCTTTAGTTTAATATCCACCACTGCAAAACAAAATCCCTAAATCAACTTGTGAAGAAGCCTGTCTTCCACCCCTGATATCTGGCCACTTACCTGCCTCCAGCAAGAATCCAGTGAAGGCAAAGCAGGGCAGTGGTGGTGCAGGCCTTTAACCTCAGCACTCGGAAGCAGAAGCAGGTGGCTCTCTGAGCTCATTGACAGATGAGGGCTCCGTACGATACGCAAGATGTTCTCTCTACAATTAGCATCCCTAGTTCTCTCAGTGATTCTCTGTGAATGCAAGGACCTCTGTTTCCTCGACATCTCCTCCCTTCTGATTTTTTTTTTTAAAGAAAAGAATAATGGCTATAATAGAGGCCAAGGTTGAATGCATTGCCTTTTTTTTTAAGCTAATCTAATTAATATATGCGAGCATAAGAGAATGATAAGATCACCTCATAGAGGACCAGGGAAAGAGGAAAACCATCCTTAATTTACCCCTCTCTTGATTCATTTCTGCTAATATTTTTCCTGTGAGCAAATGGATGTGATGTAGCCGGTTCCATACAGAACTCTACAACAATGCTAGCATGGCAAAACAATATCATACTGTCTCCTATCACAGCTGTGTCCTTTATCTCCCCTGACAAAAGACATTTGAACCCTGCATTGGCAAAGAATCCTCATGTCACATGGTCCTTAAACATGACAGCATCCATCATTTTGGGTTGGTTCCTGTTCTTTCCTCCAAGTCTCAGCTTGATGAGCTAAAGTCCTGGTGTCTCCCCCAAGGTATCAGTTTCCTCTCCTCCTTGGGACATCTCTTGATGGATTTGTCATTGGCCTGCAGATGCTTTATTCGTCTGGTGGTCTCTGGATGTCCTGGGCAGATCCATCAGATCAGACATTGTTCATTTTCTGAAAAGATACGACCATAACCTCATCTTGGTGTTAGAGCAGCTGGTCCTTTCTTTTTATCTGGCATTTAATTCAGGTTGTGTTTCCTTTAGGGCAAATGCTCTTGGGCAGTAGAAAAAGCATTATCCCTTTAAAAAAAAATTAAAAAAAAATAAGGGCTGGAGGCTGGAGAGATGGCTCAGCGGTTAAGAGCACTCCCTGCTCTTCCAGAGGTCCTGAGTTCAATTTCCAGCAAACACATGATGGCTCACAACTGTCTGTAATGGGGTCTTATGTCCTTTTCTGCCATGCAAGTGTACATGTAGATAGAGTGCTCACATACATAAAATAAAAATAAGTTAAAGAAAATTAAGTTAGGACCAGGTGGTGGTGGCACACACCTTTAATCCTAGCACTCAGGAGACAGAGGCAGGCAAACCTCTGAGTTCAAGACCAGCCTGGTCTACACAGTGAGTTCCAGGATAGCCAGGACTATACAGAGAAACCCTGTCTTGAAAAACAAAACAAACAAACAAAAAAATTAAAGTTAGTGTAGCTAAATAGTATGTGAAGATTTAGGTGGGTATACATACCCTGTATCTATCTATCTATCTATCTATCTATCTATCTATCTATTTTTAACTTGCCAATTAAGTATCTGATGGATGTTTAATAATTAATAGCTTGACCCTGTGGGTAGAAAGGGATTTTTAATAGCATGATTAATATGAAAATTTCTCAAATAATTTGCTAGCATAAGCAGGACCATTACTAGTATTTAACTGTAATGGGAGCCTTAGAAAGGACATTTGTAAAGAGCTACTTGACAGTTAAGTTTCAGATGCGATACAGTGGTTTTCCCCTGGAGTTTCCAGAAGCCCGTGTTAGACAGAGGCACTGTGCATACCAACAGTGAGTGTACTTTGAGCACAGATCTTTACATATCCGACACCAGAGAATATCTAAAATACAGACAACCATATTTTCAGATGTCAAGTTGATATCCAAACAATGCCTTTCACCCCAGCATTCGGGAGGCAGAGGCAGGTGGATCTTGTGAGTTTGAGGATTGGCTGGTCTATAGAACAAGTTCCAGGTCAGCCATGGCTCTGTTACACAAAGAAACCCAGCCTCAAAAACAAGACAACAACAACAACAACAAAAAACAACCCTCCCCTCTCAAAAAGACAAAACAGTAACAAACAAAAAACCCAACCAACCAAACAAATGAAAAAATTTCAAATAGTGTATAAAATGTATCTTTAATAGAGGATCGGCTTGGCCGGGCGGTGGTGGCGCATGCCTTTAATCCCAGCACTTGGGAGGCAGAGGCAGGAAAATTTCTGAGTTCGAGGCCAGCCTGGTCTACAGAGTGAGTTCCAGGACAGCCAGGGCTACACAGAGAAACCCTGTCTTGAAAACCAAAAAAAAAAAAAAAAAAAAAAAATAGAGGATCAGCTGTCAGAGCTTCCTTTGACTTTCTTCCTTGCCAGAGTTTGATCATTAATCAGACCAAGGGCAAGTGTAAAACTAAAAACAAACAAACAAAATTCACTTAATTAATAATGCTCATTAACTTTTAAAGATTTAAACTTTTAACTTACGATTTTAATCTTAAGGCTTTCAGTTTAAGATTTGATATCTTCAGCCAGGCGATGGTGGTACACACCTTTCACCCCATCACTCAGGGGTGCAGAGGCAGGTGGATCTTGTGAGTTTGAGGCTAGACTGGTCTACAGAGTGAGTTCCACAACAGCCAGGGCTCTGTTATACCATGAAACCTTGTCTCAGGGAAAAAACAAAAAGGT